TTCGTTGATGCATGAAATGTATTATGCATCATCGAATTGTATTATGTATTATGCATTTGAGTTCGAATCGTAACCAAAGTACTTGAAAAAGAAGAATTACTTGAAATATAATTTTCTTCAAAGCGTACCTTTCTTTCCCATATGTATTACCTATTACCTTTCTTGAACCCGTTCCCGCGGCAAAATTCGAACTCCTCGTATTCCCCTTTGATAGCATCAATAGCAAAGGCATTAGGCTTGTTGGAGGGGGTTGAATCTCGAATTTGTGAGTTTCATTCGGTTTTTTTTCCTTCCCACCCCCCTTGGGTAGCCACTTCTGGGGGTTTTTCGGAGGAAAGAGACGAACCATAAGAAAGGTAGATGACGTAGATGACGAAAATAGGCTTTTTTTTTGCTGTTTGCGATGCACCATTTAGCCAGAAAAAAAATGGAATTACCTGTCGGTCAATTCGGCTTAGAGTGCTTGATCCGGAATCGTACCCAAGTGTTGCCGGATACCGTGCTGAAATCGTGCTAAATTCAAGACTACTTCGACCTTCGGATCGGCGTCTGGATCTTCTCTTTTGTAATTTTTGAGACATTTTTGCGCTGAGTTCATGAGTTGCGCCGAGAAAAAGAAGCGGCAATAGATCGATGTGGTGCGATATGGAGACGTCTCATCCGGACCTCCCCGAATTGATAGCGCGAGCTATGGTCATCGTGCTTCTTGGAGGCATTCCGTCCTCAGACGCATTCCGTCCTCAGACGCATTCCGTCCTCAGACGCATTCCGTCCTCAGACGCATTCGAGATGATTCGAGAAACTCCAGATAGGCCAAACGTTCCACGTCTCCACTGAAATGGTTCATGAAAGTATGAATAGGCATGCGATTGGCCTAACATTACACGTCCTGAAGGAGACGTTCGAAGACCACGAATTTACCCCTCTATGCCTAATTGTAAGTCGAGAATTGAGTTTCTTTGGAAAGGCTTTGGACTAACGTTAAAGAGTCCCGTAGAAAAGGGTTGGAGGGGGTGGGGTGAAGAAAGGGAAAGCCATTGGAAATTGGTTTTCACATTACTACGTTCATTATTGTTCCCTGGAACATTTTGGACTCCTTATATCCCTGGACTCATATATTCGACAATCTCTACCTTAGAGCTTTTTCCATTCAACTTCCCAGCCTCTATTACTTATTATCACCCTATCCTTCACCACAAGCCATTCTCCTCCCCAACCCTCCTCCTCATCTGGGAGTACGTAATGGGCTCGAAACAGCTTTGTCCAGGGGGAAACTCCCGGGTCGTACTCGGCGACCAGGCAACGCTGGCTTAGAACTGGCACGCCTTAAGAAGAAATTAAGCAAACGGGAGCGAGCGCCCATCGATCATTCTCGCTTCCACCTGCGAATCGATGCGAGGATTAGGACGGAGCGGAGCTGACGAGGGAAAAGGGGCTTTTGGGTCCTGCGAAGTTGGTCCATAATAACTTGCAAGCGCTGATTCTACTGTACTTTTCGATTTAAGCGTTATCAACAAGAGACCAGGCTTACTCAAACCGAGCATTCCATCCTTTAAAGGATGAACATGGCATGCAGCGTCTTGCATGAATCAGCTCCTTCTCTTCCTGCAGAACGTGCACCAGAAATTAAGTGGCCACCCGATTCTCCCCAACTCAAACTCCTTAAGCAACGGAGCGTGGAACGAATTGAAGAAGCTCGTCTGTGCTCTATGCTGCTGGCCATTTTCGAAGCTCGATCAACTAAAGGCTCGAGGAAGCGCGGCCCCCTTGTGGATACAATCGACCAGAAAGTTAATTGACTGATGGAAACAACGCTTGCCAAATGTTATAGACCAGAGAGGAGGTTATGGACCAGGTTATGGACCAGGTTATGGACCATGTTATGGACCAGGTTATGGACCAGGTTATGGACCAGGTTATGGACCAGCACCTTTTCTTTTAAGGACAGCTGCGCTTCCTGTACCTCATTCCACTTGGGAAAATAATTCTTACCATGGTTCTGAACGCGAAAGGTCAGCGACATTTTTGTAAAATAATATGTTGTAAGTATGTAAATATGTTAAGTTGACATCCTAAATGTTTTCCAACCAACTAATCAGCTTTCTCCAGAGGAACGAAAAGAAAAGGCACAGCCGAAGAGATTCACAGGTTATCCCTTGGGCATCTCTTACACGGAGAACGGGATATCCCTCTCCCCGCCGAACACGAGGCTCCATCTCAAAGGACGGAATCCACGGGTGAGACCGGCCGAGGCGAGATCGGTTGAAGGCGAGCTGAACCAGAGCGAGGCTCGTGAAAGGGGAGACTGACCTCTGCCAAGCTCACCCCTCGCATTTCGCACCCTCCGCCTCCTCAACAGGATTTCATTTCGCTGTTGGTATAATCTGACCTCGATGGTTTTCCCTCTCTTGAAGCAATGGTTGCTCCCACCTATTTCTACTTCATCAGAGGTTGATCGTTTGCAAAGAACCTTGCGTATAGTTTATCTTTCTGTACTAAAGAATAAATAACGAAAAACGATGCCAGAATACTTCCACCTGTTTTTATTTTTATTTCCTATAGGACATGATTAATCATAGATTTCATGATGCATTTTATAACGGCAAAGAAGGCCGATTTCAATGCTTCCAATTGAATCATTTCTCCCCAACCCCCTTTTCTCTACGGATCTTGACGTGGAATGGGTGAAGGCTGAATTCCAAGGAATTGTGCCACCACCCAAGAATTAGAAACTGGACATTAATAAATAAAAATCTGCATTTTCGGATGTGGTTAGATAGGGAAATTAATTCTGCGTTTTTTTTTTAAATGTTACGGTTGGAAGAAGTAAACGCACGAGCACTTTCTAAGTTATCGGCGGCGTCACATGTGCCGTATCCTGTATTCGCCTTGAAGTTCCACCTAGGCGTGAGAAGCACTTCACTTTGACCTTTGGTTCCCTGGCAACGTGTGTTATTTGTTGGCACAATCTCGAGGAAAAGGAATGGAAGGTAGGTGAGGCTTCATCCATCAGAGTCTCTCTCTGCATGCAAAATCGAATCGATGTACAGCTTCGCTTATGAAGGAAACGCGCGTGGAAGGACGAGGCCGGTACTTTGGCGGATGGATGTCGGTGGAAGGTTCAGCGGCCTCCCCAGTCGCGACCCTTTTACTCGAGTGAAGCACCTCTTCAGTGTCGCTGCAATTGCTTGGACATTCCCTCCAGTGCTTTCATTTCTGATCTGAAACATAATTTAATATTTTCCAGTTATTCTACGCAATAGTCAGGCAATGACTCCTCCTCTATTGAGCTGCTTTCTTTCCCGATTTGAAATATAGCGGTAGTAACGCGCCAATGTTTTCGTATTCCAATTAGTATGATTAAACAAAGCCTCCTCCGATTTTAAACATTTAACTTGCACTGATAGATGTCTGCGTTATGACGTTTCTGCACCACTGTGGGAATTCGCTCGTCTTTCTAAGAGTGTCGCGATCTCCTATCATTTTGGAGCTACCCGTGTGTACCGGAAACAAGGAATATTGTGTGAATGATAAATCAAATAATTTATTTCCACGAAATATCCCACCATTGCGGCAAAGCGAGCCGATAATAGCCGTCAGGGTGAATTACTCTGACTTGAAAAAGAGCAGGTGATTTCAGGAAAGGGTAATTAAAGTAATTGTGATGTCAAAATAAATAAGCGCAAAAACTAATAACTCAGCGGATAACTGATCGCGTTTTTTTAAATATCATGTTCTAAGAATTTAATCGAATGGAAGACCTCGGAAAAATACGAAGAGAGCGACGACGAAAAACAGTGTAAAATACGAGCGTCGCGCGTATCATGCTGCATATGCAGAACAAATGCTCTTCCTCCAAGTATCTAGCACCTAGTTCCTCTTGAATTCCCAAGTCCTTCTCTTCACAGCATATTTTTCTCATATTTCAAGAATTTGCTATACCATTTGACCAAAGGAGTCATCGCTGAAAGACCAGATCGTCGGGCTTCTATTTCAGACAGGATTAATCTGGTGCGATGATGAAGTGCTTTCTTCGAGAAGGTGTTTCATCTGTGTACAAAATAGCAAATTGTGCACGATACGTGGTGCATGGGGATGGCACTCCATGAATGGACTCGAAAAAAAAGTATTCATTCGTATATATATTCTGTATCTTTTTGCTCTGGTGGTAGAAGGTCAGATGGCGCAATCGAGTCAGGCAGAATAGAAGACTGGATGAGAACAAGGTTGGGCCATGGTTCTGAGGTGAGGCCTAAAACATTTTCAGTTTACTTCATAGTGGCGTGAGTTTGGAAGGGCAATTATTTAAAATATTACTTTTTCAAGGTCACATTGAAGGTCAAGGTCACATTACCTTTTCAAGGTCACATTGAAGGTCAAGGTCACATTACTTTTTCAAGGTCACATTAAAGGTCAAGGTCACAATAAAGGTCAAGGTCACATGACTTTTTCAAGGTCACATGACTTTTTCAAGGTCACATTACTTTTTCAACGTCACATTAAAATATTACTTTTTCAAGGTCACAAAGTCACATTGAATCAAGACGTATAATATTCGTCATTCTGCACCTCATCCAATGTTCGACGGGTCTACGCCATTTTTTTAAAAGCCAAACTCAGTACTTAACAGTAAGTAAGAATCATTAGGGTCGTCGTGTTGGAGGATCCTCACGTCCTCGTCGAGGGAAGAGCTTTTCCCCGTAAATCTATTGGAGCCGATTGCGATGCACTCTCTGCACGGTCTTGGTTCGGAGCATTGGTGCGTGAGGCGTGACGTGTATTGACCCACGCCCCGATGGGGGTGGAGGGAAACCCTTTGTCTGGTGATTTACATTTCATTCCATGAAATGTAAATATTTCATTATTTCTGTGCAGGTTTCCAACTAAAATTAAGATTTCTATAAAATATTCCCACTATTAATAAAAGGCTTGTGAGTGACCCTCTTTGCTGACAAGGCGCAGAAAGGCCTCATTTAGTTATTGTGGCGATTTCTCACATCATGAAAACGTGGATTTTTACGCCTTCCTGTTGGGTTAAGTAGATTCCGTGGAGGCTGTTGTTTGCAAAAAAAAACCTGGCAAGCGATTATATTGATACCATTTATATCACGCAGTTGATAAATAAGGTCAGTCAATTCTTATGTATTTACAGGGCGATGGGATGCTTTTCGACGCTGGCCGCTCTTTCCTGCTTGTTCTGGGTCGGATCAGCAATCAAGCCCGTGGTGCATTGGGCCGTGCACCGCGGGCAACAATACGCAGCTGCTTCGAAGGAGATCATCACCGACTTTGAGGAATGCGAAAGCGCATGCTCCATGGACGATCCGTCCTTGCCGTGTCACGCCTTCAACTACCGGGAGTGGGACGGCACCTGCCAGCTGGTGTACGAGGGGATGGGCCTGCTCGTGGATGCTGGCGGGTTCCAGGCGTTCGTCAAATGTGAGTGGAGCAGAGTGGGAGCGCCGCCTGTCGACTTATACCTGATCGATTCGGGCTGAGAAATGTTGCTTGTTGGTGTGGGTTTCGGAGTCTGGGCCAATTTCCATTTTATTATTCGAGGTAAACATTGCCCTCAAGTTCTAGCAATCTGCTCTCATCTGAATCGACTAGATCGTGGTTTTTTTTTTTACTTCACATTGCTTAGATAATTTCGTGCCTCCTCGGAACTCGGTACATTGGACGGCAATACGGCATTGATAAAAAAGGTTACATCCGAGAGTAATGATGTTCGGAGAATCCTGAATACAGAGTGGTGAGCCCTCGTTAGGGAGACTCTTAACAAAAGTTTCACGAAAGAGTACTGATTGTCTAGGGGACTAACAGAAAAGCGCCGCTAATTCGCCTCTCAAGAAATCACCTGTCAAGGATAATTTCACGCATGCGCTATCATATTTTTCGGTTCATATTTTGGCAATATAAAGAGGGGAATATATTTTTTTATGCACGAGAGCAGTCCTCTGCCTGCCGGACGACAGGAGAATGAGTAAAGGAGTCTTTCGAGGGCTGGATCGAGACGATCCTAGTCCCGAGGGCTGGAAAGGTGATCTTCGGATGCTGAAGAAGGTCCACCATCACACCGCACAGGGTCAACTGTCTGTGCCCTGCCCGGAATGTCTGGCGCACGACGTGCTCCAATGGAGAAGAAGCTGTCTCCTGCCCACTCCAACGTGAGAATATCTTCGGCTTCCATTATGTTGTGCCCCGAATTCGTCTAAAAGCAGCTGATAATACCTCTGAGCAACTAACCTGGAACTTAATAACTATGTTCGAATGAAGTCAACGTTCATGTGCAAAAGTGCTCCTTGATGCAAAGCGACCAATTTCCTCGATTTAAAAAACAAGGGTGGTGGGTTTTGACAGTTTTTCGTCTCCTGAATCAGACATGAAGCAATTGGCTTCAGTTTTCATTTTGGCTCATTACATCTTTTTTAACCTGTTTACTGGGAAATTTTTACGGGTGAAATGTAAAAATGATTTCACATCCTAGATATTTAAAACGAATACCCTGTTACTGGAGAGTTGAAGAATTTCCTTTCCTCAATGAAGCATTGAGAAATTTAAGACATCTATGCAGCGATGGATGAAGCGAAAACCGTAAGCTTTCCTCAAAGACAATTCGTATCAGCACATGCTGAAGCAAAAAGTTTAATTCAGCATGTATTGCTAACAAGGAAGTGAATAACTCGAATTTAGTCCATTCTAGAAGCGCAAAAGTTACTTTTCTGAAAGGCACTCTTTCCTTCAAAAATGTGATTAGCAAATGACGATTGAAAACGTGGAAGAATGAACTTTCAGAGTCAGCATATTTTATTTCAAATAACATTTGTAACCACAATTATCATGGCCGTCGTATTTCCTCTCGAGTTTCTTCCTCAAGCAATTATAAATGAACAAATCATATTTCACTTAACAGGAGAAGGCGGAGAAGAACAGGCAGAGGTGTTAGTACAAGTGGAAGAGGAAGTGCAGGGATTGGAGGAGGGAGTGGTGGAATTGGAGGAGGGATGGGTGGAATTGGAGGAGGGATGGGTGGAATTGGAGGAGGGATGGGTGGAATTGGAGGATGATATCGATACCAATGGCATCACGTCCTACTTTGATTTTAAAGAAATCATTCTTACCATCACCATTGGGTGAAAATGCATTTGGAATAAAGACATGCTTATCAATGCCTTCTAATGCAGGTGGCGGAATTGGAGGAGGGAGTGGTGGAATTGGAGGAGGGATGGGTGGAATTGGAGGAGGGATTGGGGGAATTGGAGGAGGGATTGGGGGAATTGGAGGCAAGCTTGGGGAAATTGGAGGAGGTATTGGCGGAATTGGAGGAGGGATTGGGGGAATTGGAGGAATGAGTGCAGGAATTGGAGGAGGGATGGGTGGAACTGCAGGCGAGATTGGTGGAGTTGGAGGAGTGAGTGCAGGAATTGGAGGAATGAGTGCTGGAATTGGAAGAGGGATTGATGGAATTGGAGGAGGGATTGGGGAAGTAGTGAGGCCAGGAGCTATAGGGTACACTACACAAAGTGTGGCAGGAGGCACCACCGTACAAGCGACAGGAGGCACCACTGAAAAAGCGATAGGAGGCACCACCGTTAAAGCGACAGAAGGCACCACTGAAAAAGCGACAGGAGGCACCACCGTTAAATCGACAGAAGGCACCACTGAAAAAGCGACAGGAGGCACCACCGTAAAAGCGACAGGAGGCACCACCGTAAAAGCGACAGGAGGCACCACTGAAAAAGGGACGGGAGACACCACTGAAAAAGCGACTGGAGGCACCACTGAAAAAGCGACAGGAGGCACCAACGTAAATTCAACAGAAGGCACCACCGTAAAAGTGACAGGAGGCACCACTGGAAAATTTAAGGATGGACCATTGGAAATCGTGAAAGTAAATTCGACAGAAAAAGTCTCAGGGGCGCCAAATGGAACCACTTCAAGAGGATCTGCAGGACATACCACAAACAGAGAAACAGAAGGCACAACAGGTGGTCCAATAGGACGCAGTACAGTATCTTCTAGCGGAGGCACCACAGAGGGACTGACTGGAAGTACCACAGGAGGTCTAGCAGGAGGAAAATTCGGGGGAGCAAAGAGAGGAGTTGCATCAAGAGCTAAACAAGGCATTTACTTTTTCCTGTCCGTCGGTCTTGGAGCAAATTTGCTTTCTCGTTTGTTGTTTTCCCCGGGAATGTGATGAATTTAGTTTCTGGTTTTCCCTTGACATTTTGTTTTCTTGCTCTTGAATTGGTTCACGTCACATAAAGTATTCGTCAATTTTTAAGCCGTACCTGCAGGGGTGTTCATTCGAATTTTCGTTACGACTCGTTCTAACTTGCAGTGGGGGAAATGTATAGCCTAATGATGAATTCCTTCTCCCTAGCTCTAAAGCTCTTAGTCATTGGTGGGAATGTATATGTATTTCATGCACCTCATGCACCTCGGACGTTCTTGCGGAAGTCGGGCCTGAGTTTTCGGACGCTGCACATTTTACCCTTTTTGGGGGAGAGGGGGATTCGGGATTTCGCCACTCCATTTGATGTCTACGCTGCCATGTTAATTGCTCACTCTGTTCTAAAATTATATACGCCAACTTTTACTTGTATAGATGAAGTTTTTTCAAGTCTTAATTATTGATTGTGTTGATATATTTTGATGTGAATGTTACAAAATGTCAGATTTCCGGCATTCATTGCCAAATTAAATTGAAGAAATGAAAATAGCAAGGAATTAGATGATGCTTCATGACCTAAATAAAGGTCTCATAAGTAATATGCTTCTCGGAGTTTGGATATGCAGAGTTCCAAAGTGATGACCTTGAACAATAAATTCAGAAAATCTCAAGTTTTGCACTAATGTTATTATTATTACCGTTATTATTATTTTTTTCACTTGGGTATTAAACTGTTTTTCATGTCAGCCAGCGTAGGCGAGTGCCAAGGAAGTTTCTGCCAGCAAAACTCACTCTTCAAATGCCTTTGAGTCTTCGTAAGTCCGTTCCTTTTATTCAAATTTCTACTAGGTTGGATACCATTTTTGCCCGTCTTTGGTTCCTGCCGTCCTTAAATCAAAGTTGGTTTCTCCCCGATTTGGACCTGGTCTTCGAAAAATTGAGGAATCTGAACTCATAAACCACTTTCTTCCATGCCTGGATCTCCCCTTATTCCCAAAGGGGGGAAAACGCGTCTAATTTATGGGCATCCGCTTGCATTACTGTTACAAGAGCGACGATCTCCGTGAAATGATATTGTGGTTTGCAATCGATCTTGCTGTCTTCGACATACTGGGACGAAGTACTTGGTTGTACTTCCTACTGCGCTCGCAATTAACAGCATGTACAACAGTTGAGTGCATAACATTGATATACTGTTTATATGTATGGGAGCAAGCATTTTAAAGAATCGGAGAGCGTATTTTACGAGCCAGCCCAAATCAATGGGCACTGCGTCCCCTTCATTTTCATATCCCAATCAGCCTCGCATGTTGGCCTTAGGTTGGCGTATTTGCTGCAGCTGCGGCATTTCTGCGACTTTTCGGTTGTTAGACCACGCGTCGCACGGGGAACTGTGGCACCCTTGGCCCACACTTGGCAGACAGGTCAGTGAAAATCTCTGCAAATGCTTCGAAGCCCTCGTGAGTATCATTTTGAACATCAGAGATGAATACCGCAAAAATGACCGTGATGATCCAATGTGCCAAAAATGCAATTTGAAAATTTTTGCGAAACGTTGAAGTCCTCCTCCATGCCACAAGATGCAGGTGTGGGTCTCGCTTTTCGCACAGTACACGCATGCACATTTCCCTCTTTCCCTCTGAAAAAGTTTTAGAACATTGAAGTCGTATGTACGAGGGTGAGTCAACTGAAAACAGGACATGATTTTTTTTTCCCTCCAAAGCATCTTCGCAACCGTATTTTTTCATGTGCCGTTTTCTTTGTCGGCATGTTCCCTAGGGGCATGCGCAGCTTTTTTTTCTCCGTCGGCACTTTTTTACAGCATGAGATTCTTTCAAGCATGGCCTCCGAGGTGTTGGTAATGCTGAAGGCATTAATGGTGATGAAATTCATCAGAGACTCAGAGCTGTGCATGGTGATCCCCGCATCGCAAGGAGCAACGTCTACGAGTGGGTGCAGAATTTTTTCAAAGTGGAATAACAAGTGTGAAGTATGCTCCGCGCCCGGGCCAAGCGCACGTCGGAGACCGTAGCACGCGCCGAGGAACTTGTGAAACAGGATCGGCGAATGACACTAGATGAAATCGCTGCCAGCCTGGGTATGAGTCATGGCTCTACCCACCGTATCGTTCACGAGATGCTGGGATTCGATAAAGTGTGTGCGAGATGGATCCCCCGTCTACTGACGGGAGAGATGAAGAGCCAGCGCGAAACCAGTGCGGTTTCCCCGATGAGCCGTTTCGAAGCCGAAGGAGATGCTTTCCTTTCACGAATTGTGACAGGAGATGAGACATGGGTCCACTACCACAAACCAGAGAGCAAACGAGTCAGTATGGACAAGACCTCTCCTCGCCCCAAGAAATGCAAGATCGTCGCATCTGCCCGAAAATTGATGCTGACCATTTTTTTTTGGGGGGGGGTTACCGCGGGGTTACCGTAACCAGGGACACGTACTCACAGCTGTTGCGAGATGAACTGAAGCCTGCAGTTCGAACAAAACGTCGTGGTCTCCTCAAGAAAGGAATACTTCTCCACGACGATGCTCGTCCCCACACTGCTCGACAGACTGTAGAAACCATTACAGATCTCGGATTTGAAGTTCTTCCGCACCCGCCATACAGCCCGGAAATAATAAGATGAGCCACAGCCTATGGCTCAGGTTGCCCTAGCCATATGGACCTGGAGCCAAGACCTTTGGACGGCCAAGCCTATGGCCTAGAGTAGCATAGCCTTATGGACCTGGCGCTTTGAGAAGTGGATGGCCTAGCCTATGGCCTGAGATGACATAGTCTCGTAGGCCTCGCGCGTTGGGATGACAGCCACGAATATCATTACCACAACATTTGACCTCTTCGAAGTATTAGATAGTAATGTTTGAATCCATCCTCAGCGTCCATAGGAACTTCCCTGCCTCTATTACCCTTCCATCACCCCATCCTTCGCCTCAAGCCATTCTCCTCCCCCACCCCCCTCACCCCTTCTTCCCCCCAACCGCCTCACCCACTCACCCTCACCGCCCAGGGACAACGTTGTTTCAAGGCATACCAATATCACCTCCGTACTTTTAAACATCATATCAGCATGCAAGGTGTGCGACGGAGCGCAGCTGACGGGAGTGAAGGGGCCCTTGGGTCCTGCGAATTTGGTCCATGATAACTTGCAAGCGATGTTTCTAATGGTCGATGGACTCTTCGATTTATCGGGGGACGGAGACGAAACGGGGACGAAAAGAAAAGGCCCAGCCGCAATGGGATTATCCCATTGACATCTCCTACACGAAGAGAGCGATATCCCCGCCGAACATCAGGCTCCGTCTCCAAGGAGGGAATCCGCGGGTGACATCGGCCGAGGCGAGATCGGATGAAGGCGAGCTCAACCAGGGCGAGAGGCTCGCGAAGGCGGAGACTGACCTCTGCCGACCTCGCCCCTCGCATTTCCCACCCTCTACCTCCTCTACAGGTTTTCATTTCGCCCTTGTTATTATCTGACTTTGATGGTTTTCGCTCTCTTAAAGCAATGGTTGCTCCCATTAATTTCTATTTCATCAGTGCATGATCGTTAGCAAATAAATTTTTGTATAGTTTATCTTTCTGTGCTAAAGAATAAATAATGAAAAACGATGGCAGAATACTCGTACTTCCAGCTGTTTTCATTTGTATTTCCCTTAGGGCATTTCCATGATTAATCATAGATTTCATGATGAATATAATAACGAACGAGCAAAGAAGGCCGATTTCAGCGCTTTTCAATCGAATCATTTGTCCCCCACCGCCTTGCTCTACGAATCTTGACGTGGAATGGGTGATGGCTGAATTCATGGAATTGTGACACCAACCAAGAATTTTAAACTGGATTTCAATTTGTAAAAATCAGTATTTTTGGTTGTGGTTAGATCTGGACATTATTTTGGAGTTTTTTTTGTTTCTGTTATGCTTGGAAGAAGTAAACGCACGAGCACTATCTAA